GTGGACATCGTGGAGTTTTAGTCGGTAAGAGTCCGACACTACTCTGCTGTTATGCAATTACTGCAACAGCGGAGTGTCCATGAGGATTTCTCCACGTAAAAAAAAAAAAAAAAAAAAAAAAAATAGAACGAACGAAAAGACCTACGCATAGTAAAACTTGCAGCAAAGAATTGAAACGAAGAATCGCATGTTGTCCTGCGCTTAGGAAAAAAAGTATCGCGAAAATTTGGAATTTTTCAACGATAGAAAAATACGATCGACACGAGAATTCGAAGAACGAGGCAGGATCGATGCACTACTCGTATTTATAATATACACGGAATATTGACACGACGTTGCATTATCTGTCTACGTGATGTTTGCGACATCAGTATTTCATTAATTTTGATTTAATATTGATCATCCTTTGTATAGCTGTGTGTCACACTTTCCAACAACAAATAGAATCGTCATTACACCGCTAAACATTCATATTTAGAGTTGGACAAATATTAAGTGGAATTTGTTTTTCGACAAATATCTGTCTACGTAGGATATTTGGCTGGATGGAAAAATTCGTACGAATGATCCAGCCTGTTCCGCATCAGCCGTTAATATTTCTACGAAAGAGCAATTGCATTTTAAACAGAAATGGAAACGTATCTACTTATTACCGATCGAAAATCGAATACCAATATTTGAACAATGCTTACGCACTATCAAATCGATATTCCTGGTCGCGTAGGTGTTCTGCCCAACATCCTACGCTTACGCTACGTTTGTACGATTTTAGAGTTTAGATGTGCGTGAATATATGTTTAAAAATCGGACGAGAGAAACGTTGAAATTCGACAACAAAGTCGCTACATTCGCAAATTCTTATACCCAACAGTTGTTCCTTTTATTTCTGGTCAATTCATTCTTGAAACGTTTTTAAAAGCTACTTTCGATTTCATTGTATTTAACAGGAGCCTGTTGCACTATAAATTGACGATTAACGATATTGTTGAATTTACCAGTTACAAGTTACAGCTGTTAAAATATTGTAAATATTCAACGTTGTTGGTTAATTCATGCTGGAGGATTCAGATGCGATATCTTGAAAAATTTTCGCACACAATGTTCGTACATGTAATAGTTGCATGTAAAAGATTTTCAACGTATTTATTTTTATTACGCCCCTGCCTCTTAGTTTAAAATATTCTATTGAAAATATAACTTAAAATAGCGTATTACGTCTTTAGAGAACTACAAATTCGAATATTTCAAAGTTCGGTTACTGTCACGAAATACACGTTTACAAAAGAAAAAAAGAAAGTCGAATCTATGGACATTTGAATTTAATTTCTCAAAAAATGAAAGAGCTCGCAACAAACACTTTCGACCAGAGACGCGCAACTTTGTCGTTTAATTACAACTAATTACAGATACGCCGAGCAATTACGCGATACGATGAATATTTTCTTTGAAACGATTGAGAAACACCGAACAGCATCGAAAACGCTATATTTTTCTGCTTTCGCGAATAACAACAAACCTGTGCAAGAATCGCGTTTATCGCAAGCTCTTTGATCGAAGGAAAAAGTAGCAGAATGTAACGCTACCGACGGAAAGTAACGAATTTCATCGTAACCGAAGCGTAGGTGTAAACATTTCCGGAACAAAGGTGTATTTTTTGAAAAATCGTTGGCGATTGTTATGCATTGCCGAGCGATTAATTAAAAATCACAAATTAATTACATGGCGCACGGTCATTAGTTATGATTAATACATGGCACGAGCACCATGTGTGATTTTAATTAAACTTATTACATTTCAATTTCGATATAATATTCCGAGCGCCGAATGGCTGTACCGATCAAGATTCCTGACGTTTTTAATATTATTCCTGGAAACGGAGTCGCCGGCCAAACGGTTAAAAAGCTGGCAGAAAATCGCCAACTCGTCGCATCCGATAGGCGATTTCCGGATAAACATTTCATCGAGGCAATAATGATGCAGCCGACCAGTTATACGGGAATTAGTACGGCACGATTAGTTTATTATTCTTTTATACGAGGAAATGAGGTTCTCGTTTGTCGATGCCCGCATTTCTACATTCGTCCGATTACTCATTTATTAGTCATTCGTTATTACTTCAATTACACAATGGTGGTTGCTGCAATCTTTCAGAAGAAAATGCTTGAGACTTTTTCTGTTGCGCACAGTGTGTACCTCAAGTACTTAAGACAGAAGATTTCCATGTATTGGCTTGGCAACTAAATGACGAAATTATTGACAAAATTCGCAGTCGCTTAGTTGCCAATCCCGAGTGTGTCAATGCCATCGCGTGTCGTGTAAAGCATTTTGCAAATTTTTCAGTACTGTAACGAGACACGATTACCATGATTACACGTGTTTTTGATTATTCATTGATAAAGTTTGAAGATGTACGTGGAAGTTAATGGAGAAAGTTAACAAAGAAAGAGTGGAACCAGTGTCAAGGACAGTCTCGCTAATACGTAGGAACGTGTGCGTATTTTTTTATTTGTCGCAAACCATATTCGTTTCAGAATTTACGTGACACGTTCGTATGAAGTTTCTGCGAGCTTCCGAACGCTTTCGCCAGCTTCTCGCAATTCACCGAGCAAGATGTCCCTTTTCTCTGATAAAATTGAATTACGAAAAATGAGGTTGAATTTAAATGCTTCGGATCGTCGAGTGTTTTCGTCGCTAGAACTCAGTGACACCGAAGATCGACGAGAATTGACAAAAGTAAAGGAAGAAAAGACAGAGCGGACAAGGCGTGGTAATCGTGAAAATTGTAGTTTTTCCAGACGATCGAGTACAATGTAGTTTTTCAGTTACGATATAGTAATTGTCTTTTTGAAACTGCTGACGGGTCGATAGCCACACGCTTTTGCATATTTACAAGATATTTTTTTTTTGTTTCCCTCTTCCACTCTCTTTCTCTGATCAAAAACGCGTACAAATTTCGTCGTTCCGCCGCGATTAATTTCCAACGAAATTATCTCATTTTTTAACGGCACCGAATTTTGATATGCTGCCACGTTTTATTATCCGATTCCAATCAATCGTTTTGTACGTGTCTCGAAAGGTAGCGAGCCCCTATTTTTATTCCAAGCATACACTGCAATCGGTTTCAATAATACAATATCCCTCTGTGACGTGTATTTAAACGAGCTCGTTAATAAACACTTTAAAAATATACATTTTCCAACGCCCCGATGGATATTATTTCATTGTCTTCCTATCGATGAATAATCGCCTCTGTTTTTAGGCAACTATTTAATTATAAACAAGTACAGCTGTATACCTATACCAGCAAGTGATTTCTTAACACTGCCAACATAGACAGATTCAACCATTTTCCCTTTCCTGTTTTCTAAATTTTCTTTGTATTCATGTTACGTCTTACGTGGATAAACGTGGTAAAAAGCAACTGGCTTTGGACGAAATACAAATCTGTTTAAGTATCTACGATCATTCGCAAGGATGTTCGTGTACGCTGTATAAAATTATACGCTGTCTTTATTAAGATAAAACGTACCGTGTTTAATCGTTAATTATTAAAGTATGATTTTGCCATGGTGATACTTCGATATAGATACATCTACGGATGATATCTGATACTTACGATAGTTTGCGACGCATCGCCAATTCAGTTATATAATTATGCTTCTTTACATTACCATCAAAATGTAAAATAATGAATTGTCTACAACAACTTGTTCTCTACGATTCGTGCATGCATATATGTACTACATTCGTTCGTACACATTCAGCAAAATCCCTATTCAAAGCGTGCATTAATTGCCATTGGTGTGCATAAAGCGGCTAGCGGTCGAAACGATGGCAACTGCAGTTGGTCCATTGAAATTGACATTTTTCGAAGCATAAAGATCGGCCAGCAGCCTTTTATTATTCACTATGATATAGTAGGAAAATGAATTCGCAATAAATTATCCAAAGTACGTATATCGCCAGAGAATAACGTTCCTTTTTTTTATTTCCATGTAAAAATCTGTTTTCCTATATCCTCGTCTAGTCACTCTGGTCACCGAGTTTCGTATGCAAAAAGTCTATTACATAAAAGTTCAAATAGTTAATATCGTAATTATAAACATATCATTCTCTTGCTTCTTAAAGGCATAGTTAACGTTAAAATGTCAATTTCAAGTACCCATTCTGTTTTAGTTGCAATAGTTCTCGCCTAGACTGGTTAAAATAATATTTGGAACAAGGATCAAGCAACTGGAGCGACGATTTAACAAAAGTATGGAGAAGATCGGGGAATTGAATAAAAGAATAAAAGAAAAAGATTCGTAAGAAGCGACAACGGCATTGAAATCTTGTCCTTAAAAGGTTGGAAATAAAAACGATCGTGTGACGATAGATCGGATTTACAAATTTTCCTATACACGCGTTAAACTACTGTAGTTGTGAAAAGGCAATGATTTAAAAAAAAAAAGGGGGGAAAGAAAAGAAGCCGTGTTAGGAGAATACCGGGGCTAATCGTCGCTCTGTGACGTGTTGTCGAAAATATTATTTTCACCAGATCTTCGCATAGGTAAACAAACAGGAGTAGAAAAGCAAAGACAGGCTTAGGCGTATAGGCGAGGACGATAGGACACTAACTTGTGGATTGAAGGGTCTTTGCATTCTCAGAGCCTCCGGCAGCCCCCCGGCCTGTGAAAACACGACCAGGGATGGCGGCGGTAGATGATTCGGCACATACGCAGAATTATCCATCTAGAACAGATATCGGCGTGTTCCATTTCTCAATCTTCCTTGGACCATCCTCGCGCGTACCGATTTTTCGCGGCGTTAAACCGCGGTGAGAAAATATCGAAATTCGATCAACGATATGGCGACACGACGGTGAGTAGTCGATGAAAAGTGTGTGAAGTGTGTGTTGATTTTGTAAGTACTGTTTAATACCAAATCCAGCGTCGTTATATATTCGTACGGATGCTTTGGTCGTGGACTTTTCGCAGACAAAGATTTTCTAAATAAGAATCGGCGTGGCAGCGTTATTAAATTTCTTCGTTAGTGATATAAATGACAGTCACAGGAAATGTTTCTATATTCCAAGTAATCTGTCGCTGGAAATTCAAACAGAGAAATTAGAAGTATGCGCCGGGAACGATCGTAAGGAATTCGACTTGGTGGGAAACAGTACTTACGACAGTTTATTCGAATAGTTTTTGCTCAACCTTTTTAGCTACTGGCAAGCTGAAATCTCCGTTTAATATAATTATTTTATTAGATAGTACGGAGATACGCTTGAATAACGTATGGTGATAGAAATTCGCGCGTCGAGAATTCCTCGGACTTCTTTTCTAACATATGCTTCGAAATTCCTTTGAAACTTGCTTAAAAATCTAGAAAGCAAAATATTCATGAACAAGATTCGATTACCAAATAGCTGGTCGTCTTGATATAATATTGTTCGCTTTTAAACTTCTCGTATATCCACAACAACATACCGGCATTGAAATTTAAGAAAATATTCGTCTTTTCATGATTATCGGGTGAGAAAAATATTCTATTTAGAGAAAAGAGTCGAGTACAAAATAGAGAGAACGCGAGTGAAAGATATTCGAAACCTTTCTTTAGATAGGTTTTACAAGTTACATATTTAAATGTTTCTAATTAGCATGTATTAATCACTGGAAAGCGACCGATAGAAAGTCGTAAAGGAAACGACAGGCAAAATAAGATAACGCAATATAGTAATTGTAGCTATTGAAGACAATCGAACACGATATAGTTAATGACTCGACCAACAAATGACTTCGATTTCTGCTCCTTCTAGTCTTTCAACGAGAGCTATCGAATTTGATCCACGAGCAACTGCATCGATCGCAGTTGTATCAACTTTTCTCTCTCGTTTGATCAAATATATTGAAAAGTGGAATAAAGTAGGCGTCGGAAGGCATCGGAAAGAAGTCCAGAGGAATCGAGTAAACCCGTGTGTTTCGATGCTTTGCGGGTGTTCACGTTTATTTGTTTAACGTAACAACGTTTAACAATTTGCGTCACTCTGTATATTATCGTCATCGAAATTTAATTGCAATCCGCGTTACATTACACAATAATATTACTTACCGCTGAATTTCAGCGAGAAGATAGGACTGAAATTCGAGAAAGTAGTCGAATTTTATGGCTTTAGAAATTGGTTTTTCAATAAAAAATTTACCGTTTTAATATTCTACGTACGATTATCCATGCTGCATCGCTCAAAGCTAATCTTTGTAATATACTCGTTAAATCGTATGCTATCGACCAATGTTTTCAGCGATTATTTGTTTTCTGTACAACCAGTGGGCAATAACGAATGAAAATTACTCTCGGATTTCATAATCTCACCTTTTATAAAATCTCCTTCTTTTTATGCTAAATATTTTATGCTCGGAAAATCAAGCACAGACTATTATGCATCGTAAATAGGAAATAATATAGTGAGAATTTAACTTTGAAAAATTCATAACAATATACTAAATATATAACGTTAACAAATCCATGTTTTAATAGCTATCCAATATCGTTTTATATTCTGCCAATTATTCCTATGATTTATTCTTACATGCTGTAGCAAATCCTTTCTACTAAAGATATTAAAACGTACAACGACAAACATTGTCTTTATAACGTTTGACAAATTTAGCCAAGTTAATTACCCGATTATTTAATATTCGTGTGTGTTTAAGCATAACGAGGAAAGATATGCATGTGCTGAAATATTATCAGAGACATTAGAAATGCCTTCAAATTTCGAGGACGAATCATCTAAAAATGAACACTGGCAATGCAACGACGCAACAGGCTAACCTTGGTTTGATCGGTTGTCAACATTTCAAGATCGATGAAAAATAAAAATGCCTATGCATTTATATCTTTCATATGTGTACATGTGTATAAATGTGTATAAAATGCGCGTATATATTAATCACCATCACGCGTACATTTTGTACACCAAAGAAGTCACTGCACGAAATACGACCGTTCGAAAACATTCACTCTATTTTCACGGATCCCATTGTTCTCTTATCCGTTGCTTAGGAAACGTGTTCTTATCACTAACAGTTCCTTCGCACTAATATCCGCATAAATCGATTTACCGTGTAACGTGGCGAGGAATCTATTCGAAAAAGGCGCGTTAGACAGCGAACAACCTAACCTCAACGCGTGGGTTGTCACGCGGTTCGACGTGCGGCGTAAACCTCCGATAAACTCGTAAACTCGTTTGACAGCTGTTGTGGCCTGTCGTACGAAACCCGTTAATCACGTTACAACGTATTTGAAAAAGTTAACTGAACGATAATGGACGGAACGATGCGACGCGGGTGAATTCAAATTCAAACGAGTCATATAATC